TCTCAGCCCCAGCATCTCCCTTCCAGACAGTGCTTCAAGAGGCAACTTGTAGACCTGGTGATGGAAGGGGTGTGGCAGGAGCTGCTGGACAGTGCCCAGATTGAGATCATCATAGCTGACTGGGGAGCGAAGACAGAATGGGCCACCGAGAGCCACAGCAATGTAGCTGGAGCTGGCTGCAGGGATAGCACTGTCTCACCCCCCATCAGCCCACTGTGTCGGGCTCCCTTTCTTGGGAGATACAGCAGCAGAGCTAGGGAGGGGGGAACCCTGTTGCATCCCAAGCCCCTTCCCAAGCGTACGGGGTGTGCACACGAGCCCACTGACTGGCACCACTCAGCGCCAGCCCTAAAATCCTGTGGATAGTCAAGGCTTCTGACAAGTTGGCAACACTGACCTAAGAACTCTAGCTGGAGGCACAAGAGTCTTTCGAAATGCATTTGGTCTCTTCTCTTGGGCTCTGGTTCCTTCCCCAGGTCAACGCTTTCAGCCTGGGCGTGGCTCCTCCCTGGAGCACTGTAGTTCCAACCCCCCCACCCCCAAAGTAGCAACAGTCTTCCAGGCCTGGCCCCGCCTCAGCACCTAGGCCCATCTTCTTGTAGTGCCTGGATGCACCAGATGCTGTGCAAATGGATAGGACTTTGTTTCAGGTGCTGGAAAGCTTAGCCCTCAGCCTCCTTCCTCCTGACCCAGAGAACTGGCTGGGTGGCAGGGACCTGAAGACACACTGCCACCTGGCAGGTGGGGCACCCGGGAGAACTGTGGCTGCATATACAGGCTTCAGGTCTGCCTACTGGATGACTATGAAAATGAAGTGGCCTCACCCAGCCCAGTCCGTCAGTGAGTTCAGAATCTCCACTCAGCCCTGGTCAGCTCCAAGCTGCTGTGCCCAACAGTCACCCTGCTGGGTTTCTGGTTTCATTGATGGGGTCTGTGATATTAGCTACCAATGATCAAGGTCATACTACAGTAATCCAGACCCTGCTCTAAGAGGCTTACTGAGTAATCATTTTATTAAAGCATTTACTGAGCAGCTACTGTGTTCAAGGTACTGTTAAAGGTGCTGTAATGCATGAACCAAAGTCCTAGAGTTGAGAAACTGAGCCACAGAAAGGGCATGCAGGAGCCTGGCCCAATGGTGCACACTTCAAATCACAGCACTTGGGAGGCTGAGGCAGGAGGATCAGGAGTTCAAGGCCAAGCTGAGCTACCTGTCTCAAATAAGTGTTGGCACAGGCCTTTAATTCCAGCACGAGAGGCAAAGGCAGGTGGATCTCTGAATCTGAGACTAGCCAGGGCTCTATAGAATCCTTCAATCAACCAGTAACAAATGGGTGAAGATAAAATTGGGAGAGGGTGCCAAAGTCTTGGGGCTCATTACCTACCTGAGCCCATTTCCTACTTCTCCCTCGGTCTGTTGCAGGCACCCTGACCTCAGGATCTTGGCATTGACGGTTCACCATCTGCAAGGCTCTTTTCTCCAGAACCTCATGTAGCTCCCAAGCCTTCTCATCTCTCCTCCCATATCTTCACCTCCTCATACCTGTTCATGCCTGCCTCCCTCCTGAAGAATGCCCACTGCTCTCCCCAATAGTATTCAGCATCTAGCCTCTTCTTTCATCACTGTGCCCCCAGCACCTAGAGTATGGCCAGGTACCACTGGTGCTCGGGGAGCCTGCTAAGGTGGAGGAAGGGGGCACCAGCCTCACTCCATCACTCTCTCTCCCACAGGTCTTTCACGCCTTCACTGACTTTGGCAAGGGCATCTGTTATGTGTCTTTCGAGCAGTATGGAAGAGTCATACATTCCTGGGTGAGACACTACGGTGTCATTGTGGCCCGCTCTAGCATGTGGGTCAGGATTTGTCAGTACTAAATGATCAGCCCCTTGGGACTTCCAGGATACACTGCCTTCTCCTGGATGGTGTTAAAGTCAAAAGTGGCTTTGCAGTCCTCAGCTGAACAAAAAAAGGGGGGGGATCCTGTGTGGTTCCCCTACATACTTGCTGTTTCAGCATCACGGCCCTCCTGCTGTGACAAACCAGAGGCCTAACCAGCTTGTTTACATCTTCCTTCTCTCAAGCAGGAGCCACCATAAAGTGACAGACATCTCTAAGTCAGGAAGCCTGAGAACTGCCTCATGTATGGATGTCAGTGGGTAAACTGTGTAAAAAATAAAAACAGAAACAAAAACAGGCCGAGCCAGACCTGATAGCACACGCATCTAATCCAAGGCAGGAGGATCAAGAGTTCAAAGTCATCCCCAGCTGTATACTGAATTCCAGACCAACCTGAGGTACATGAGACTCTGCCAAAAAACAAAACATCCAATGGACCAATCTCAGAATTATGACAAAAAGAGAAAGCTACTTATAAGGAGACAGTGACTTAAAAAAAAAAATCTTAATTGTGTGTCACTGTGTGGGTTCGTGCATGTGAGTGCAGGAATCCACAGGAAGAACCGGAGTTACAGACAGCTGTGAGTCAGTGTGGGTGCTGGGAACTGACCCGAGTTCTCTGAAAGGGGTACAATGGTGGGCTGGAGAGATGGCTCAGAGGTTAAGAGCACTGATTGTTTTTCCAAAGGTCCTGAGTTCAATTCCCAGCAACCACATGGTGGCTCACAACCATCTGTAATGAGATCTGGTGCCCTCTTCTGGCCTGCAGGCATACATGCACTGTAAACACCATAAACAAATTAAATAAATAAATAAATCTTAAATTAAAAAAAAAAAGAGGCACAATGGTCTCTTTAGTTCCTGTAGACCAGTGGTTCTCAAGCTTCCTAATGCTGTGACCCCTTAACACAGTCCCTCATGTTGTGGTGACCCCAACCATAAAATTATTTCGTTGCTACTTCATAACTGTAATTTTGCTACTATTATGAATAGTAATGGAAATATCTGTGTTTTCTGGTGGACTTAGGCAACCCTTGTGAAACCTCAAAGGGGTCACAACCCATGGGTTGGGAAACACATGTGGTGAGGTCAGCACAACTTGCAGGGGTAGCTTCTCTCCTTTAACGTGGATCCAGGGGATCAAGCTCAGATCATCAGGCTTGTTGGCAGCCACCTGCACTCACCGAGCCTCTCTAGTCCCGGACATTGTCTCATCTGCACATTAGGGAATGGGTTGATTGCTAGCAGGGGACAGAGGTCAGCTAGGGCATCAGTCCTTGAAACCAGCACATGCCTACAAGGAAACCGTGATGTTCTGAAGAGTCTCAGTTCCACCTGGGGACAATGTCTTTACTGCCCTGGGGCACCTCACCTTTGCCAGGCTAGTTCTCAGTTCTCATCAGGTCTCAGAGACCCCACTCCTGCCAGGTAACATCTTCCTCTCTACAGCACTCTCCCTCCTACAGAGTCGCCTGACAGCGGACAAGCTATGGGGGCAGTTTCCCTAACGCCTGCTCTAAATCCTCCCAACTGCCCAATAAAACTAGTGTTAAGGGTCTGGAGAGATGGCTCAGTGGGTAAGCGTACTGCTGCTTTTCCAGAGGACCCGGGTTCAGTTCCCAGCACCCATGTGGCAGCTCACAACTGTCTGTAACCCCATTCCAGGGGATCCTTCACCTTCACAGTCATACATACAGGTAAAACATCAATGCACAGAAAATAGAAATAAATTTATTATAAAAAACAAAAACAGCTGGTGTTAAGGAGCTGGCAGATGGTGCAGCAGTCGGGAGCACAAACTGCTCTACAGAAGACCCAGATTGGGTTGCCAACACCAACATCAGGCAGCTCACAACACATACCTCCAGCTCCTGGGGGATCCAACACCTCTGGCCTCCGAGCGCAGCTGCACTCACAAGTGTGCGCATGCACACACACACACAATTTTAATCCAGAAAAACAAAACAAAAACTGGTGCCGAGGCAGAGGTCACAGCTCAGTGGTGGAACACTTGGCCGGCATGTGAGAGGCCCCATGTGTCCATCCCAGCATCACTTAAGAGTGGGCATGATGATTCATGCCTGTAATGCCAGCACTGGGGAGGTGGAAGGAGGGCCAGGAGCTCAAGGGCATTCTCAGCTACACCCGAAGTTCTGAGTTGGCCTGGGGTATGAGGGATTCTGCTTCCATCAAGGACATATGAAACTCAGGAAGTCTGTCTGCAAGCTGTGCTCCTGTCTGGCTCCAGCCCTGATCCATGTACATACGTGTGCACAATCGGAGGCTGTCAAGAGGCTGCGTTTGCACCAAGTATTAGCTGCAAACTTCCAAGATCCAGATCAGTTGAGGTTTTGCTTTGTTTTTCCTTCTTCTTCAAAGACTCACTCCATAGCCCAGACTGGCCTCAAACTCAAAGCAATCTCCTGCCTCAGCCTCTACAGTACTGGAATTACAGGTGTGAGCCATGGAGTCCAGCTGTCAAGGTTCTTTATCAATAAATGTCATGTACATTTGAATATTAGGCAGGAACGTGTGTGTGTGTGTGTGTGTGTGTGTGTCCAGTTGAACTCCAGAGCCTAATAATGTGAGCATATCTCCCACAGCTTAAAACTGTCATGGCCACGCCTGTGATCACAAAAGGCCAAATTCCAACTGATGCCACTATCCAAGGCAGGAAACTGAAGGCCAGAGGTAAGGGGCTCCCAGGGGCTGGAGAGGGCTCAGTGGCTAAGAGCACTTGCTGTTTTGCTGTTCCTCCACCCTCCAGAATAAATAACAGCACCTAGGCAAGAATCAGCAAGCAGAGGCACAATCCCCTCCCACCCCCAGGAGAGTCTCCGGCCATCACTAAGAATCTAACCATTTCAACGCCCTTCCAGTATCAGCCTTACTGTTACCTGGCACATGGCCACATGTAGGCCAGGCTTCCACAGGGCCTGCACCCCATCACCACCACACACATGCACTAAGCATGTGGAACATTTGGCTAATAATCATCAGCACCTAGAACAGTCCCTCTGTCAGGGAACTTTCTTCTGGAAGAAGGAACTGGGGTACAGGGATGCGTATTTGTCACCACAGCCAGGGAGACAGTACACGAAGGTCGACACCACAAGCTGCAGGTGTTTATTCAACTCCCACCCAGCAATGAGCTCCCACCTGTGGATACTGAACACACAAGCCAAGGGAGTGGGTAGAAGGGCGCTTCTTTCCAGTTCACCTCCAGAACGTTGGCAGATTTATAGCAGTCTTGATGAGTCGGAGCAAGATTTGAGTCCAAGAGTAGCGGTCCCTAGAGCAAGAAGAAGTGGTTTCTGGGGACCCAATGCCTGACCACTGTCAATCACGGTCACTTCTTTTGCACGTGGCCACAGTCATACTTGCCCCTCACAACTTTGAGTTTAACCCCGGGCAGGTCTTGAGTCCGACCGCCCTCCACGAGGACCACATGGTGCTCCTGCAGGGTGTGGCCCTCCCCGGGGATGAAGCAGACAGCCTCTTTGCCTGTGCTGAGGCGCACTCGGCAGCACTTGCGGTTGGCCGAGTTGGGCTTCTTTGGCTTTCTGATGAATGTGCGTAACACCACACCCTTCAGCTGGGGCCGGCCCTCTGTGGGACCCAGACGCTTAGGGGGTTCCTTCGGGCGGCCTGAGCGGTGCATCTGGTTCAGGGTGGCCATGGAACGTGTGGCCCAGAGCTGGGGACCTAGGGCCAGGCCTGGAGAGACACAATGGAGACTACTTGGTTACCATGTTCTGGGGAGGGATCCAAACCCTTTACAAGGTCAAAACTGCAGACGTCTAGAGGTTTTAGTGAGGATCAACAGATGGCTCAATGGTTGGAACCTCTTGCAGAAGATGGGGTCTGACTCCCAGCACCCATGGTGGTGGCTCACAATCCTCTGTAACTCTAGTTCCAGGGGTCTAACATGTGCACGTAATGCACTTACATACATGCAGGCAAAACATTCATACAGGGGCTAGAAAGATGCCTCAGTGGTTAAGAGCACTGGTTGCTCTTACAAAAGACCCAGGTTCGATTCCCAGCACCTGCATAACAGCTCGCAGTCATCTGTAACTCCAGTCCCAGGGGATCTGATGCCCTGTACAAATGCCAAGCAGAGATGAACAGATATACACAGGCAAAGCTTATACACACAAAATTGAACATTAAAAACAAAACAGGTGGTGGTAGCACACGCCTTTAATCCCAGCACTTGGTTGGCAGAGGTAGGGGGCTCTCCGTGAGTTTGAGGCCAACTTGGTCTACAGAGCGAGTTCCACGACAGCCAAGGCTACAGAGAAACCCTGTCTCGAAAAATCCAAACAACAAAACAAACAAAAAACCCAGGGTCTCACTATATAGCTGTCTGCCCTGGAACTCCCTATGTAGACCAGGTTGGATAGTGAACATCTAAGTGAACGAAATCCCCAATATCTCCCCAGGTCACTGCAAGATACCTGATGTCTGGGGAATGACTACAAACACAAAAGTTCCCCTCCCGTGGGAGGCATATCTCAGACTTAGATCGCACTCGAATGAATGACTGAAATACCTGGTTTGGATCTCTCACCCATAGGAGCCCACCAATAAATACTTGCTGAGGGAATAAACACAATGGCGAGACACCTAACCAGGGCCGAACATTTGTTGGTATGATGGCTGCATGAAAATCAGACTGTACTTACACACTCTAAGACAGAGGATCACTAGGCAACACAATCCCAGGGATTCACCACTATCTATGTGTGGGAGCCATGACCATGACTGACTTAAACTGCTGGACACAAGGAGCTTCCCACCTCCTGCCCTTTGAGCCGGGGGCGTGGCAGAGAACCCCTGTAATACTCGGGAGGTTGAAGCGGGCGATCAGAAGTTCAACGCCGTCTCGCTACAAAGCGAATTAGAGACTAGCCTGGACTACAGTGAAACGCTGTCTCCAAAACAAAACAGGCACCGTGTTTAAAGGTATTACCGTCCTCACTCTGGCAAAAGCCACACAAGTCACCCGTCCTCGTCCCTGCGGCCCAGGCTCACTTACCACGACTGAGGGACGTGGTGAGGCCGCGGAGAAGGCCGGCCCAGGACATCTCGCCGCCTGCTGCGTCCCTATAAGGGCAGAAGTTGCTCAGGACGGAGGTGGGGACGAAGTCGCCCTCTCAGCGCCGCAGGGGTCGCCTCTTCAAGGCGACAGAAGTCGCCCCGCAGATCCAGCCCCACTCTGAGTACCCCCAGGAACCCAATCGCCCTCTCCCCGATACTGGAAGCGGAAAGTGAGGAGAGAAGAGAGAGGCGTGCAGAGAAGAGATAATCACACTCACCACACCAACCTAGTAGGGTCGCACACTTGCTAAACCCTATCTCCAGCCCCTTCCGGGGACTCTCTTTCGTGATTGGCTATTTCTTTCCTGCGGCCCACAAAGGGGCGGAACAAAGGTGACCATTGGACAAGGACACAGTCTATCTCGCTTCGATTTTTCCTCATTGGAAGGGTTTCCGAAGCTTGGGCGGGAAATCTCTTTCCGCGTCTGATTGGCTCGTCCCGGTGAGTGACTCCTGGTTCCCAATCCAAGATGGCGGCATCCATGGCACGGTTCTTGCGGCCTTTACTGGCTCGCCAGGGCCTCCGGTCCCGAGGACGCTGCGTGTGCAACCAGAACCCAAGGAGAAGCTTCGCTACACAGAAACGAGTTCGGAACCTCCTGTACGAACACGCACGTGAGGGCTACAGCCAGCTTCCTCACTTGGACATGGAGTCACTGTGCGCATGCCCAGAAGCAACCGCGCGTGCCCTGGAACTCCGCAAGGGGGAGCTGCGGCCGGCTGACCTGCCTGCGATTGTGAGTGTGCCTGCGCCGGCTGCGGGAGCCGGCTGCTGGCTTTACCAAACTGGGTTTGCCCGAGGCTTTCCAGAAGTGGGCGGAACTACTTACAGGAATTTGTGTTCCTTCCCGAGTCAGGCAAGGTCTTGTACGTGACGCCCACTTATGGTCCACTGAGAACTAAGGCCCCACTGAACGTCATGCATGCCTTCTGTGGCCTGCACGACCTTTTACGTGTTATTCCTGGAATTTAAATACCATTGTCTTCGGTGCTCAAACTTCATGCCAGGCTCGCCCTAAGGCCACAAAGAAAAATGAGGAGTGAGGTTTGGGGATCAGATTGGAGAGGTTTGGGGAGGGGCTCTTGGAGACACCTCTGCATCATGCTCTAATAGAAAACGGATAAATAGGGGTGAATGAATAAAAAAATACCTGCTGAACAGATGCTTAAGCAACACTTATGTATCCAGATGTTGAGACCAGATGCAAATGATAAACTCATCAGTGCTTGCATAATGGTACCTTATAGGGAACTGGAATTGGGGGTTGCCATGTCGGTGGTGAGTTCTGAGTGTAATGGATCAGTCAGGACATCCCAGCTCCATCTTGAACCCTTCCGACTTGGTCACTTTTCTGTTGCCGTGAGGAAACACCATGACCAAACCAGCTGAGGGAAGCATTCTCTGGGGTTGGCGGGGACAGAATGGCAGCGAGTGGCAGAGCTGTAAACCGAGAGCTCACATCTTTAACCACCAGCCTAAGGCAGAGAGCAAACTAGATGTAGGGCGAGGCTTTAAGCTCTCAAACCCCACCTCCAGGGTCATAGTTCCTCCAGCAAGACCGCATCTCCTAAACCCCCACATCACCAGCCACTGACCTGTGAGCCAAGGAGCCAGACATTGTCAGTTGTGTACACTTTGACCTTGTTTAAATTTCTGTGGGCCAGGTGGCCCAGCCCAGAGGGACACTTGCTACCAAGACTGCCAACCTGAGTTCAGTCCCTGGGATCCACATAGTGGAAGAAGAGAACCAACTCCTATAAATTGTCTTCTGACTTCCATGCCATAGTCACATACGAAATAGCCAAAATAAAAAAGAAAGGCTAATCACCTTTAAAGAGGTTACTTAGCCAGGCCTGCCTCTATAGTCCCAGCACTCAGAGAAGGGACAGGATGGTTACAAGTTCAAGGCCACCCTAGACTGTATTTCAGTACACTGTCTCTCACAAAACCAAAAAGAAAAAAAGAGTCACATGTCCACGCTCATTGCTTGGTTGGTCTGGATCACACCAGCAGAAGTGACTGCAAAGTGAGCTGGGAAATGTGTTGGTTCAGGGCAGCCGTGTGCCCGCCTGGGCTTCTGGGAAGAGGCACTGAGGCTCACCTGCTGCCCTCCAGGGGCCAGTAGCTGAGGCTCCAGCAGTGGCCATCCCCCTTTCCTCTCGCGGTGTCCTCCCACAGATCTCCACGTGGCAGGAGTTAAGGCAGCTGCGGGAGCAGATCCAGAGCCTGGAGGCAGAGAAGGAGGCTGTGGCGAAGGCAGTGCGAGCCCTGCTGGTGAGCATGGGGACTGCGTGGGCCAGGGCAGCCTGGAGGCGGCAAGGGTGCCTCTGGCTGGAAGTAACAGGAAATATAGTTAAAGGGGCTTGAATTGTGTAGAGAATTGTTACCTAATAAAACAAGCCACCTAGGCCTGATGCTCCTAAGGCTGATGAATTAGCTCTCCTCAGCATCCCCAGCTAGATTCTTTTCCTCCACGTGCCCAACTTCAATACATAGATTGGACCCCATCCCCATTCCAAGATGTCTACCACTGTGTCAGAGACAAAAAGTGAGCTTTTCTGCCTCAAGGTCCTTTCCAGGAGCAAAGAGGCTGCTCCCTAAGTAGACTCCCTTCTTGTTGCCAGGGCTCAGACACCCACCCTCACAACAGTCCTGACTGTTGCTAGGTTAAGGCCAGCCTGCAGGGGGCCCACCTGTTCTGAACTGAAGGCTTCCTAGAGAAGGACAAACTGAGTCACGGCTGTGGGGAGGAGAGAGCCTGGTTAGACCTGAGCTTCCTCACCTTCCCCACTCACCAGCCCCTTTCCCAGAAGCACTCACATTTGTTACATTTGATTTGTAATTAATTTCCATCATTGCGCATTCAGAAACCCCAACTTTTTGCAGCCCTGCATTCCATTACAGCACCCCACATAGATGGCCGCTGCCAAAGTTTTTTGTAACCCCAACATTCAATTACAGTGCCCCATCTAGCATGACACTTCGACACTTAGAAAGCTTGACAACCAGTAGCACAGGTGGCCTCATAGAAGTCACAAAGGCTGTGATGGCACACAGCTGTAATCCCAGCTCCTGGCAGGTGCAGACCCAAGAGTTCAGTATCATCCTTAGCTACTGCCTGTCACTGTGCTATTGCTGTAGAGAGACACCATGACCAAGGCAACGCTTAAAGAAAGTATTTCATTGGGACTTCTTACAGTTTCGGAGCATTGGTCCGTTATCAGCATGGTGGGAAGCAGATAGCCATGGTGCTGGGGCGGTAGCTGAGAGCTTTACATTGTGATATGCAAGAAACAGGCAGAGAGCAAGAAACTAGACCTGGTGGACGATTTTGATAGCTCACAGTCCAACCACAGTACCTCCTCCCAATCCTTCCAGACAGTTCATCAGCTGGGGAATAAGCAAATAAATGAGCCTATGGGGCCATTCTCCTTAAAACCACAACAGCTACATACCAAGTTCCAGGCCAGAGTGCCCTGCACGATTGCTCAAAAGGTCATTTAAACAAGAACAAAAGCCTGAGCCGAGAGATGGCCCAGCGGGTCTTGCAGAGGATCTGGGTTTGGTTCTCTGCACCCACATCAAGAGGCTCACAGTCACCTGTAACTGCAGCACCAGACATTCTGAGACCCTCTTCTGGGCATCCATCCACACATGCAGCATCGCCACAGACGCACAGAGACTCCTAAATAAAAATTAAAGTAGAAACAATAGGGCCAGGGATGTAGCCGAGTGCTAGAGTATTGGCTGCAGTGGCAAAGCCCTGGGTTTAAATCCAGACGCACAAAGAGATAGCTCTAGGAAATAAACACGGAAGCTCATGTACGAGCCTCGTCTTCCCCCACAGAGCCCAGGAGGAGGGGACAGTTACCTCAGTGGTGGGTGTTATTACTGCTGTATTATGTTGCCACCTCATGGCTGTATTGATAGAGAAACTGAGGCAGAGTGGTGGAGGGACCCAGCCAGGCACTGACAGTGAGAGATTCAGATGCCGGTCCTGTTTGAACTTTGACCTCTTCTGTCTGTGCTCCAGATCCCCAAGTTCATTACCTAATCACCATCCCCTTCCCTCTTCTCCACCAGGCAAACCAAGACAATGAGCAAGTGCAGAAGGTACGCCTTAATGTCCACGCCCCACCAGGGAGGGTGGGGAGGGCTCCATGTGGTCACAGTTCTTCCACTGTCGTGACAGCACAGTTCAGACAGGGTTAGGAGGTAAGATAAAAAGAGCAGCTTCCTTTGGGGCTGGAAAGGTGGCTCAGTGGTTAAGAGCACTGGCTGCTCTTCCAGAGGTATTGAGTTCAATTCCCATACCCACATAGTGGCTGCAACCATTTATAATAGGATCTGATGCCCTCTCTAGCATGCAGAACTCACATACATAAAACATAAATAATTTTTTTTTAATTTTTGTTTTTCAAGACAGGCTTTCTCTGTAGCTTTGGAGCCTCTCCTGGAACTAGCTCTTGTAAACCAGGCTGGCCTTGAACTCACAGAGATCCACCTGTCTCTCCCTCCTGAGTGCTGGGATTAAAGGTGTGTGCTACCACTGCCCAGCATAAGTAAATTTTTTTTTTTTAAAAAAAAAAGAAAAGCTTCCACTGGATCTGGAGAGATGGCTCATGGTCATGAGTGTGTACTGCTCTTCCAGAGGGCCCACATTTGTTCTGGATCTGGAGAGATGTCATGGTCATGAGTGTGTACTGCTCTTCCAGAGGGCCCACATTTGTTCTGGATCTGGAGAGATGTCATGGTCATGAGTGTGTGCTGCTCTTCCAGAGGACCCACATTTGTTCTGGATCTGGAGAGGTGTCATGGTCATGAGTGTGTACTGCTCTTCCAGAGGGCCCATATTTGTTCTGGATTTGGAGAGATGTCATGGTCATGAGTGTGTGCTGCTCTTCCAGAGGACCCACATTTGTTCTGGATCTGGAGAGATGTCATGGTCATGAGTGTGTGCTGCTCTTCCAGAGGACCCACATTTGTTCTGGATCTGGAGAGATGTCATGGTCATGAGTGTGTGCTGCTCTTCCAGAGGACCCACATTTGTTCTCTGGCATATGCACACAATTAAAAAATAATAGTCATTAAAAACAAAAGCTGCCTGTCGCTTTGTGAAGATAAAGCTGACTTCAGGCACAGCTGGCACCAGCTGTTGGCTCCATATCCAGGTTTATTCTGAGCCCAGCTTTCTTCCTTTCTGGCAGAGGAAGTAAGTCAGAGCCATACACACCTTCCTCATAGTTGCCTCTGGAGTCCTCAGGCTGATTATGGGTAGCTCAGCTTGGCTCCTATCTCCTCACAGCCAAAACAAGAGAAAGTTCCCATTGGCCAGGCCTGAAGCCTGTTTGCATGAACTTGCTGATTGAGCAGAAATCCAGGTTGCTGGATGGAAAGAGGTGGCAGGTGTCTATGTGGTGTCCTGCCAGCAAGGACAAGCCAGGCTGGTGAAGGGATCCCTGACCTTCCCCAAAGCTAACCCTGTCTGCCATGTCCAGGACCCTCAATATCAGGGCCTCCGGGCCCGTGGCCGGGAAATCCGGAAGCAGCTCATACCGCTGTACCCCAGAGAGACCCAGCTGGAGGAGCAGTTCTATCTGCGGGCACTGAGGCTGCCCAACCAGACCCACCCAGACACGGTAAAGGCCATTCGAGCTGCAAGGGAAGCAGGGTGTCCGAGCTGCTGCCTTCCATCTGACACGCTCCTCTTCCTGCAGCCTGTTGGGGATGAGAGCCAGGCTAGAGTGCTCCGCGTGGTGGGAGACAAGCCAGGTGAGTCACACTCCAGGGCCCGAATCCAGTGTCCCTCGGGTCTCAGTCTGGGAGTGGTGCATGGGTAATCTTGTGTGAGGGTAGGGCTGGGGGCTGCAGCTGGAGCAGCCCACCTGACTTGGGCTGAAGCTGAGTCTCCTTACCCTTACTTGTGGGTAGCCCTCCCTGGCATGGTACAGCGTGTCTGCCTGGCTGGATGGCTGTCTCTTCTCCACTCTATGGGGCTTTTCTTCTAGCTCCTGTGTGTGTCTGTTTCTGTCTGCTCTCATCTTGCCCCTCTCTCTCACCTCACTCACCTGTTTCCTTCCTTCCTTCCCCTCACCTCCCTCTTCTCTCCTCTCTCCATTTTCTTACCCCCTTCCCTGTGTCCCTCTCTCCTCCTTGCTCTCTGATCCCCCTCTCTTCAGTTAATCTTTCTTCTTTTCTTATCCCATTGTTTTTTACATACAACCAGTTTTCTCCTTCCGACCCCGAGGCCACCTGGAAATTGGCGAGAAACTCGACATTATCCGGCAGAAGTGAGCCCCCACCCCACCCCACCCCTAGTATCACCCCCTCTTACTGGATCCCCACACACTAACAGCTGGCAGCCAGCTCTGTCCTGCAGCCTTAGGGCACAAGGTGGAATACTGGGGCTGGGCCTGCCCAAGATGAATATTTGATGCCAGGCCCGCCTAGCATCTGGGCCTCTGCCCCCTGGGCATGCGAGTCCTTTCCCCACCCACCTGGCCCATAGGCACTGCTGGTTTGTCTGCCTGTCTGTCTCTAGGCGCCTGTCTCACGTGTCTGGCCACCGGTCCTATTACCTGCGCGGAGCTGGGGCCCTCTTACAGCATGGCCTGGTCAACTTTACCCTCAGCAAGCTTATCAGCAGGGTATGGCCTACCTGAGGACTGCCTGGACAGGGTGCCATTGGTACCAAGCTTAGAGGGATTAAGGATGTTCAAGGGGGCTAGGAATGTAGCTAAGTTAACTGGTGGAGCACTCGCCTGTCATGCAGAAGGCCCTGCTTCCATTCCCTGGGACACACACACACACACACACACACACACACACACTTTATCCAGCACTGGGGAAGCTGAGACAGGAGGATCAAAGTTTCAAGACTGACCTGAGCTACATAGTGAAACTCTGTCTCAAAATACACCCAAGAGGGTGGTTCACATCTCTGTATATTATCAACACGCTCATTTCCAAGTCATCTGTGCTTGGTGTCCTGCAGTGGGGTGGACTGCAGATGGCCGGGGGCAGCCACGGTCTCCCTCCTCAGGCCTGCTCTTAGGTTTCTGTGCCTCACTTACCCCTCCCCTCTTGCAGGGCTTCACCCCCATGACGGTTCCAGACCTTCTGCGAGGAGCTGTGTTTGTGAGTAAGGCCTGAATGCCAGGCCCTCTCTGCCTGAGGAGACTGCCCTGGGCTGGGTCATGGAAGTTAGCCATAATGGGGGGAGAGGGAGCAATTCTGGAAGCTTCTAGAGGAACGGCTGGGGTAGCTCCAGAACGGGGGAGGCCAAGGTTACCTGAACCCTGCTCCCGTCCCCCAGGAAGGCTGTGGAATGACACCAAATGCCAACCCATCCCAAATTTACAATATTGACCCCTCCCGTTTCGAAGATCTCAACCTGGCTGGGACAGCAGAGGTGGGGCTGGCAGGTGAGCATCTGCCTGGGTGTGAGGGGCACAGCTCCCTGAAGAGGACAGATCACAGCCCTGCAGCTAACACATGCAGTTGTGTGGGTTGTTGACTGCTCCACAGTACAGTGACTAGCCGTGTTCTCTGACCTGGGTTCTCTAAATCTCACTCCAACTTCTGTGGAGATGGTAAGCCTGGCTAACCCCGTCCTGCTTCTTTCTCCTCCCAGGGTACTTCATGGACCACTCTGTAGCTTTCAAGGACCTGCCAGTCAGGTGATGCCCAGTTTCTTTAACCCTAGACCCCGCTGGTAATATCTCCTGCCCTCCCTGACCTGGCCTCACATGCTCCTACTAGGATGGTCTGTGCTAGCACCTGCTACCGGGCGGAGACCGACACCGGGAAGGAGCCTTGGGGGCTGTACCGAGTCCATCACTTCGCTAAAGTGAGTGGCGCAGACCTAGCTGGCCATGCACAGGTCGCCACCACCCAGAACCTCCTGACCCGGTGTTTCTGCTCTGTCCCAGGTGGAGATGTTTGGGGTGACAGCCCCTGGGCTAGAGCAGAGCTCACAGCTGCTGGATGAGTTCCTGTCCCTGCAGGTGGAGATCTTGACTGAGCTGGGCTTGCATTTCCGGTGCGGAGATGGGTGGGCCCGTTGGAGTTGAGGAAGGGAGTGGGGCTGACTGGGCTGTCCTGCCACCTGCTCCTTTGCCTCCTTTCCCCTGGGCGAGGCCTCTGGATGGTATAATCTCTGTCTGCATTTTCTTGCTTTATAGGAGTTTGAAAAGTTCGCATGGTAGCATGGTAAAGCTGTTCCCTGACCCCCTGGGGCAGCTCACCATCCCTAGAGTGAGGTTCAAAAGACCTCCTCGTCCTGCAGAGTGAAGCAGAGGTGGGAGAGGGAGGGACCAGGTATCACAAGGGCTACTCATCCTTTAGGGCACACAGCTTTCCAGAGGTCTGAAGAAGGCCAGTTCTTCCCCAAGTGACTCATTGTGCAAAACAAAACATAAAAACTTAAGAGTGTGTAGTCAGGCAGGGCATCACACGGCTATAATCCCTAACACTTACGAGGCTGTGGCCAGATTTTCATGAGTTCAAGACCAGCCTGAACTATAGAGGAGGATTCTGTCTCAAAATAACTAAGTAAATAAAACAGAAAGGGTTTGATGTAGTGGCCCATACTTAAAATCCAAGCACTTGGAAGACTGAGGCAGGAAGATTGCTATGAGTTTGAGGCCACCCTGGACAACATGTGGCCCTATTTCAAAGGGAACAGAAAACAAGCTCAGAAAAGTGCCTACTCTGCGATCATGAGCGCTTCATTTCTGACACCCAGCACCCGTATAATAGGGGTGATGGCATGTATGTAACCCCTGTACTGCAGAGGCAGAGACAAGTGGATCCCCAGAGCTCGCTGCCCAGCCTGTCCAGCGCAGCCAGTGAGCACATACAAAACAGCCTAGAGGTGCACACCTACCTAGAGTCCGGTCGCTTGTGACCATTCTCAGCTACATAGAGAATCCTAGGCCAGCCTGGGCTACATGAGATGCTACCTCAAAAAAAAAAAAGAAAAAGAAAGAAAACAGAACTCCAAAACTGGAGATGCTGTTCTAGACCATAAGAATGGTTGGGTGAGTAGCCCATAGACTGCTATATGGCTGTCCTTCCATCTCCTCTGGGTATCACCACCTCCCCAGTGCCAGGTTCTCTTCCTCCCTGCCCACCATACAGGGTTTCTCTGTATAACAGTCTTAGCTGTCCTGGAATTCATTCTGTAGACCAGGCTGACCTCGAGCGAGCTCAGAGATCCACCTGCCTCTGCCTCCCGAGTGCTGGGATTAAAGGCGTGCGCCACCACTGCCCGGCCTCTGTGTTCTTCATATCCCTTTCTCTCCTTTTTACCTCCATATCCTCCTCTCCCACTGAGCATCCTTTACCCTGGCCCAGTGACCTCTACCCTGTTTCTGACTTTGACCTCAGGGTGCTGGACATGCCCACCCAGGAACTGGGTCTCCCTGCTTACCGCAAGTTCGACATTGAGGCCTGGATGCCTGGCCGAGGCCGATATGGAGAGGTGAAAGCCCTGGCTTAGTGGGGATGTGTGGTAAGACACTGGAGGGTGGGCCGGTCCCCCAAGACAGCCTCTCAATTGCCCCTGCTCCAGGTCACCAGCGCCTCCAACTGCACAGACTTCCAGAGCCGCCGCCTGTATATCATGTTTGAGACGGAGACTGGGGAGCTGCAGTTTGCACACACGGTGAGGCCCACACTGCGTCTCCACTTCCCCATCCTCTGCAGCACCTCACCCCGCTCCCAGGGCCAGGACAGAGCCTGGTCCTGAGCACACCCTTCTCCCAGGTGAACGCCACGGCTTGTGCTGTTCCCCGAGTCCTCATTGCCCTCCTGGAGAGCAATCAGCAAAAGGTGAGAGATCCCCAAGCCAGGACTCTCATGCTTGACAGAAGGACTGCAGGTTCAAGCCTGTCTGGGAATCTTAGTTATCTCAGTGTAAAAGTAAAAATAGGCTGGGGTGTGGCTCAGTGGTAGAGCCCCTGCCTAGAATCCACAGTGAGGGGCTGGGGTGTGGCTCAGTGGTAGAGCCCCTGCCTAGAATCCACAGTGAGGGGCTGGGGTGTGGCTCAGTGCTAGAGCCCCTGCCTAGAATCCACAGTGAGGGGCTGGGGCCTGGCTCAGTGGTAGAGCCCCTGCCTAGAATCCCCCAGTGAGGGGCTGGGGTGTGGCTCAGTGGTAGAGCCCCTGCCTAGAATCCCCCAGTGAGGGGCTGGGGTGTGGCTCAGTGGTTAAGAGTTTGCTTGGCATCAGGGAGATCCTGGGTTCAACTGGCAGTACTGGAAAGAGGAGGAATAGTGTCCAAGTTTGAGACGTGCACTAGCAGCAGAGAGGACAGTTGGGGGAAGAGTAGCATCCTGATACTGCCCTGTCCACAGGATGGTTCTGTCCTCGTGCCCGCTGTCCTCCAGCCCTACCTAGGCACTGACCGGATCACAGCCCCCACCCATGTGCCTCTCCAGTACATCGGCCCCAACCAACCTCAGAAGCCCAGGCTTCCCGGCCAGCCTGCTGCAAGCTGACAACTGTCTGCCCTGGAGGTTGGCACTCTAGAGGCCCCAGACGCTAGAACCTCTACCCTCCCCTCCTGAACTCCTGGGTGTACCTCTCTTCCTTCCCTGCCACTGAATTATTGACAGTGACCCCTGCTGTCACTGGGCTGTCAGCCAGAGGCATGTCTCAGCCGTGATAGGACAAAGGAGATCTGGAGAGAGCCATAGCACGCCATCCCGTCTTCCTGCCTCCGTGCCGAGCAGAGGACCCACAATAAATGGTCACAGAGCAAAGTCTTCTGGATCTGTGAGTGAGAGAGGTGTTAGGTGACATGCCACATCATTCAAGCGCCTGTGGCTGCCTGCAAGGCTCAAGATGGGTGACTTGAGGATCCCCAGGGGACCTGAAAGGAAGCCAAAGCCTCTCTTCCTCTGGGACAAAAAGCCGTCATCCTCGGGTGGCTCCCTCAAACTGAGCCAGCTTTATCCTATCCTTTGGTCAATGGTCCCAACTCCTGTATTGTCCAGAGTGTCACCTCCTTTGCACACCCCTCACCCCTTCACAGGCACTCCAGGCCCCTTGTCTACACTGCCAGCTTTGCTGGTGGATTTCGCTCAGCACCTTGAGCAGCTCCAGCCACCCTTCGGACTTCCCTCGGTATTTTTCCACCTTCAGTGGGTTAGCAAACCTGCAGCTTCGCCTTCAGAATGTTCCAGAACTGTGCCATTTGCCCTCTCCCTCCTCCTTCCTTGATCCTATTCTTCAGCTGGCCACTTTGTCTCCCACCTCCCTGTCTCTGCTCCCTGCGAGCATCGAGTTTGGGTGTGACCATCCGCTGCCCAGAGTTGTCAGAGTAAAAGGCAACAGTGCCATGCCGTCTTCCTCTGCCAGAGTTACTGTCACCGTGTTCTCTTCTACATAGGCTGTATCTGTGAATGTTGACTGTCCAGCTTCTCACCTGTCAGCTCCAGCAGGACTGGGACGTTGGCTGCTTTATTAGCTGCTGTAGATCCAGGTCTGTGGAGAAGAGTTGGCATACAGTGCAGGTTACTGGGGGAATCTGCTGCAGCTCAGCTGGCAGAGTGCTTGCTTGGCATGCACAAAGCCCTGGGCTCAATTCCCTAGCTTAGAATTACTGGGCATTTTAGTATGTGTCTGTAATCCCAGCATTTGGGAGGCAGAGGCAGGTGGGTTTCTGTGAGCCAAACCTGGTATGCATAAATTCAAGGCAGCCTGGTCCTGTCTCAAAATATAAACTATGGTATGGTGGCACCCATCTCTGGTCCCAGCATGGGGGATGCTGAGGCAGGAAGATCAAGAATAAAAGGCTTGCAAACTGTGGTATTGCATCTCTTTCATGTCAGTACCTAGGAGACAGACAGGTGGATCTCTGAATTTGAGGCTAGCCTGGTCTACATAGCAAGTTCCATGCCAGCCAGGGCTGCACAGGGAGATCCTGTCCTAAAATGAGCTGAGCCAGGCCATGGTAGAGCACACCGTTAGTCTCAGCACTCGGGCGGCAGAGGCAGGCGTTTCTCTGAGTTTGAGGCCAACCTGATCTACAGAGTGAGCTCTAGGACAGCTAGGGCTACACAGTGTAGCGAAATTTATAAAAACCTAGAGACAAAATTGGAGTCCAACCTGAAAGCCAAAAAAGTAAAGCAGCCAAGCAACTAGAGAAAAAAGTCTCTATGAAGGCTGGGCGACCATTTTTTTTTTTAAAGATTTTATTTTTTATTATGTATACAGTATTCTCAGTATTATGTCTGCATGTCTGCCTGCAGGCCAGAAGAGGGCACCAGATCTCACTACAGAGTGTTGTGAGCCACCATGCGGTTGCTGGGAATTGAACTCAGGACCTTTGGAAGAGCAGGCAGTGCTCTTAACCACTGAGCCATCTCTCCAGCCCTCTGTTCTCCCATTTTATGTTTCCTCTAGTGCTGGGATTAAAGGTTTGACTCCCTAGGATTGAGATTAAAAGTGTGAGCCACCACCACCGGGATTTGTTTTTGCAATGATCTTGTATAGCCCAGGATGGCCTTGAACTCAGAGATTTATCCAAATCCAAGGTGTGTGTCACCATTGCCTGACCTCTAGTGGCTTTAGCTAGCTTTGCTTCTGTTCTTCAGGCAAAATTTATTTATTAAAATACAAATAATATGCTGCTACAACACAGATTCTGTCTCAAAAAGAAAAAAAATAGGGCTGGAGAGATGGCTCAGCAGTTAAGAGCATTGCCTGCTCTTCCAAAGGTCCTGAGTTTAATTCCCAGCAACCACATGGTGGCTCACAACCATCCATAATCAGGTCTGGTGCCCTCTTCTGGCCTGCAGGAATACACACAGGCAGAATATTGTATATATAATAAATAAAAAATTTCTATAAAAATAATTTAAAGAAAAAAAGAAATCAAGATTTGAAGAGCTGGTCAGCAGTTGAGAGCACTCACCCACTTCTCTCGAAGGGCTCAAGTCCACTTCCCATGAGCCACTTCTGGTAGCCCACATCCACCTGAGACCCCAGTTTTAGCTCCTTTAATACACTCTTCTAGACTCCATGGCCTCCTGCACTCGTGTGTACATGCCCACCACACACATACCTGCAATTTAAAATAAAGGACCCTGTCTCAATGAAACAAAATTAGACTTTTGGATATTATCTGTGCTGGTTCACTCTTATAACCTCAGCATTTTATTTATTTATTAAAGATTTCTGTCTCCTCCCCGTCACTGCCTCCCATTTCCCTCCCCCTCCCCCAATCAACTCCCCCTCTCTCATCAGCCCAAAGAGTAGTCAGGGTTCCTTGCCCTGTGGGGAGTCCAAGGACCTCCCACCTCCTTCCAGGTCTAGCAAGGTGAACATCCGAACAGCCTAGGCTCCCACACAGTACATGCAGTAGGATCAAAATCCAGTGCCATTGTTCTTGAATTCTCAGCAGTCCTCATTGTCCGCTATGTTCAGCGAGTCCAGTTTTATCCTATGCTTTTTCAGACCCAGTCCAGCTGGCCTTGGTGAGTTCCTGATAGAACATCCCCATTGTCTCAGTGTGTGGGTGCACCCCTCGCAATCCTGAGTTCCTTGCTCGTGCTCTCTCTCCTTCTGCTCCTGATTTGGACCTAACCTCAGCATTTTAGAAGCTAAGGCAAGCTAAGGCAGAAGGATTGCTACAAACCTGAGGCCAGCCTGGGCTACATAGCAAGACCAAGACCCTGTCTTAAAAAAGTGGAGAGCAAGATGCAAGCTGCGGACACCTGCGCGCAGACGCGGCGGATGCGGGATAGTCCAAGCATAAAACAGTGAAGACCACACTGAGAGCAGATCGCCCCACTACAATTAAATTTTTGGGGGCCTGGCCTGTAGAGCGGTAGGGCTTTTATTGGTGAGGTCCACGGGCAAACGGGGAGCCTGGTCCTGTCCCTGAAGACTCTCCTGAGTGGAGAGAGTGTTCTTGGCCTGCACGAGACACAGGAAATGGAGCGGGGGCATTTCCCGACCCCCTTGACACCCTCCACCCCTACCACCACCCCCCTTCCTCCACCCTCCACCCCCGGTTATCCAGCGAGGGTTGGTATCTTCTGCTGGGGCTGCTCCTCTGCTGCGACCTCTCCCTGGCACATCCCAGCTTGTGCCCAGGGGCCTCCTTCACTCCCCCTCCCTTCCGCTGGGCTGCGGGATGACCCAGTTTAGCCTGTTTGGGTGCTGGGTCGGGAGCTCGGGGCAGAGGGCAGCAGGAGTTTCTCTGTTTTAGTGGCTGGCCTGCAGAGGGGTAGGCCTTTTGTTGGCGAGGTCCCTGGCGAACAGGGAGCCTGGTTCTGGTCCTGAAGACCCTTCTGAGTGGTGAGAGAGATCTTGGCCCGCGGCGGGAGCCAGGAAACAAAGCGAGGACATTTTGTAAGTGGGGCCTCTGGCCAGCAGGGAAACCTGTTCCTGTTTTAAAAGACCTATTAGATAGCATTGACAGAGGAGATGGGCAGGCGCCAAGGCAAGAATTCACCCAACAATCTGAAAAACAACATGAAAACACCAGAACCCAATGATCTTACAACAGAAGGACTTGAACTCCCTAACACAGAAGAAGTGGAAAAAATTGACTTTATGAAAGCAATAGAGTCCCTTAAACAACATGTAAAAACGCCCTTATAGAAATGGATGAGAAGTATAACAAAAAGTTTGAAGAAATGAGTAAATACGTAAATAAAACCCTGGAAAACCAAGAAAAAACGATCAAACAGGTAATGGAAACAGTTCAAGAATTGAAAACTGAAATGGAAGCAAGGAAGAAAACAAACTGAGGACCAGCTGGATATGGAAAATCTAGGTCAACGAGCAGAGACTACAGAAACAAGCATAATCAATAGAATATAAGAGATAGAAGAAAGAATCTCAGATTCTGAAGACACCATAGAGAAAATAAACTCACTGATCAAAGAAAACAGCAAAGCCAACAAATTCTCATCACAAAACATTCAGAAAATATGGGACACAATAAAAAGACCAAACCTAAGAATAATAGCAATAGAAGAAGGAGAAGAGTCACAGCTCAAAGGCCCAGAAAATATATTTAACAAAATTATGGAAGAAAATTTTCCCAACATAAAGAAAGATATTCCTTTGAATATTCAATAAGCATACAGAACACCAAACAGACTAAATAAAAAAAATCCCCTTGCCATATAATAATCAAAACACAAAATATACAGATTAAAGAAAGAATATTAAGAGCTGCAAAGGAAAAAGGGCAAGTAACTTATAAAGGTAAACCAATCAAACTTACACCTGACTTCTCTATGGAAACCATGAAAACCAGAAGGTCCTGTAGAGGTACTGCAGAAACTGAGACCATGGATGCAAACCCAAACTACTATACCCAGCCAAGCTATCGTTCACTATCAATGGAGAAAACAAGTCATTCCAGGATAAGAACAAATTTAAACAATACGTAGCCACAAATCCAGCACTACAGAAAGCAATAGAAGGAAAATCACAACCCAAGGAATCCAACATGGCCAACACTGCCTACAATAACTCAGGCATCTAGTGACCCTTCACCAGCACAACTCAAAGAAGGGAGACACACAAACTCTACTACCAAAAACAGTAAGAATAACCGGAGTAAACAACTACTGGTCATTAATATCACTTAATATTAATGGTCTCAATTCACTTATAAAAAGGCACAGGCTAAGAGATTGGATACAAAAACAGGATCCCAACATTCTGCTGTTTGCAAGAAACACATCTCAACCACAAAGACAGGCATCTTACTCAGAGTAAAGGGTTGGGAAAAGGTTTTTCAAGCAAATGGTCCTAAGAAAAAAGCAGGTGTGGCCATACTAATTTCTAACAAAACTGACTTCAAACTAAAATCAGAAGAGATCGAGATGGACACTTTATACTCATAATGGGAACAATTCATCAGGATGAAGTCTCAGTCCTGAATATCTACACCCCTAATATAAAAGCACCCACTTATGTAAAAGAAATATTACTAAAACTCAAGGCAGACATCAAACCACACACACTAGTAGTAGGAGACTTCAACACACCTCTTTCACCAATGGACAGGTCAATCAGACAGAAACCTAATAGAGAATTAAGAGAATTGTTGGAGGTAATAAAGCAAATGGACTTAACAGACGTCTATAGAACACTCCACCCAAATAGGAAAGAATATACCTTCTTCTCTGCAGCTCATGGAACCTTCTCGAAAATTGACACATACTTGGAAATAAAGGAAACCTCCACAGATACAAAAAAAATATCATAAAAACCACTTAGAGAAAAAAAAAATATCAGTGTCCACCTGTGTCTTATCAGATCACCATGGATTAAAGTTAGAAGGCAACAACAGGGAGCTGGAGAGATGGCTCAGAGGTTAAGAGCATTGCCTGCTCTTCCAAAGGTCCTGAGTTCAATTCCCAGCAACCACATGGTGGCTCACAACCATCTGTAATGAGATCTGGTGCCCTCTTCTGGCCTGCAGTCATACACACAGACAGAATATTGTATACAAAATAAATAAATATTAAAAAAAAAAAGAAGGCAACAACAATGCTACCCCCAGAAAGCCGAAAAACTCATGGAAACTGAACAGTCAACTACTGAACCACACCTGGGTCAAGGAAGAAATTAAGAAAGAAATTAAAGTCTTCCTTAAATGTAATGAAAATAAAGAGACAACATACTCAAACCTATGGGACACGATGAAAGCAGTGCTCAGAGGAAAGTTCATAGCACTGAGTGCCCACTTAAAGAAAACGGAGAAAGCATACATTGGGGACTTAACAGCACACCTGAAAGCTCTAGAAAAAAAGAAGCAGACGCGCCCAGGAGGAGTAGAAGACTGGAAATAATCAAACTGAGGGTGGAAATCAACAAAATAGAAACACAGAAAACAGTCCAAAGAATCATTGAAACAAAAAGTTGATTCTTAGAGAAAATCAACAAGATTGACAAACCCCTATCCAAACTAATTAAACGACAAAGAGAGAACACGCAAATAAATAAGATCAGAAATGAAAAGGGGGACACAACCACAGACACGGAGGAAATTCAGAGAATCATTAGATCTTACTACAAAAGCCTGTATGCCACAAAACTGGAAAATGCAAAAGAAATGGACATTTTTCTAGATAAGTACCATATACCAAAGCTAAACCAAGACCAGGTGAACGATCTAAATAGATCTGTTAGTTGCAAAGAATTAGAAACTGTTATCAAAAATCTCCCCTCCAAAAAAAGCCCAGGACCAGATGTTTTCAATGCAGAATTCTACCAGGACTTCCAAGAAG